CATCACTGCTTCTATCTATCTGCTTGAGCGTTTTCCTTTCTTTTGCCAACCCACAACCTTTCACATGATTTTCCTCTCCATGGTATTGCCTGTCTTAACAACATGCCCAAATTATGTGAGTTGAAACTGTTATTTTTTTGCCTCCAAGCAGCACTCTGGCTGCACCTTCACCAAGACTTATCCATTTGTTCTTTTGGCATGTCATGATATTCAGCACTCTTCTCCAATACCACAGCTCAAAGACATTGATTCTTCATCTGTCATCCTTATTCATTATCCAGTTCTCATATGCATAGTAAGTGATTGAAAAGACCGTGGCCTGAATCAGGTGCAGCTTAGTCCTAAAACTGACACTATTGGCTCTCAGTAATTTTGAGAGATCTCTGACTGTAGACTTTTCTAATGCAGTACAACTCCTGATCTTCTGACTGCTGGTACCAAAGATGTGGACTGTAAATCCAAGTAAGATGAGATCATTTACAATTTCAGTTTTTTCTCCATCTGTCATGATGTTGCCTGTCGACCCAGTAATGGGAATGTTTGTTTTCTTTGATCTTCTACAACAAATGCTTCATATAGTCTTCACATTCAGCAAGCAATTTTGTGTCTAGGTTATTGATGTGTGTGTGTGTGTGTGTGTGTGTGTGTGTGTGTGTGTGTTTGGAGTTTACATTCTTTTTAGTCTCTTATAGGTGGGAAAAAATTTATTTAGATAGACTAGAGAATGCGAATGCCTTTTTTTGAAGTCAAGGAATATATCTGAAAACATTTCTTCTTTTACTTTGTGATTAAAAAGACCAGAATCATGTATATATTACACACCAATTTGTAACATGCCAAAATAGTAAAGAGGACACTAAATACTAATAAACTTGATATTATTTAAGAATGTAATTTCTATTTTTTGTATGTTAAAATAATTTCTAGAAAGTATTTAAATGCAACCATTGCCATGAGGTAAATGGAAACTCATAGTGACCTTGTAAGCTAGAGAATTATGCCCTAGGATTTCCAAGGCTGTAAATTTTTTTTTAATTTTGTTTTTTAATTTTATTATTTTTGTGTGCATGTACCGTCAAATCAGATCTGACTGTTACAGGAGAAGATTGTCCCTCCTTCCCCGGCAGAGCATCTGGTGGATCTGAACAGAAAGGAGTTGTAGTGGTTTGGTGGTAAGAAATTACACTGTTATCCTGGTTCAAATCCAGAAGCAGTTCAAATCCATCAGCTGCTGCAAGGAGAAAGATGGGTAATCTCCTCCTTTGTGACAGATTAACTGCCTCTGAACACCTCCAGGAAGGTCAGCTTTGAGTGGGTTTCTAATCAGAAGTAAACAACAACAACAACAGCAAATCTTTACAGAAATAGCTGCTACTTTTTTTTTTTATTGCAGCTGGTGTATTCACACCACTGATTTTTTGTTTAACAGCCCAATATTTTAATGACTGCACCACCATGTTATTGTTGTTGTTATGTGCCATCAAATCACCTGTGACACATAGTAACCCTATGTACAACAACCCTAAACCCTGATCTATCTCTTGCCAATCTCATTTTCTCCAACACACCTATCCCCATTACCTCAGTGATGGAATCAGTCCACCTCATCGAAGGTCTTTCTTTCCTGCGCCGTCCCTCCACCCACCCAAGCATGACGTCACTCTGCAAGGACGTCTTGCAACATGCCCAAAGTATGTCAGACGAAGCTTCAGAATCCTTGTCTCCAAGGAGCAGCCTGGATTTACCCTCTCCAGTACAAACTTGTTTGTTCTCCTAGCAGTCCATGGTCTGTTCAATACTCTTCTTCAGCACCACAGCTCAAAGGCATCAACTCTCCTATCATCCCTAGTCATTGTCCAGCTCTCTGCTGCATAGCAAGTAATTGAAAAGACCATGGCCTCTGTCAGGCGCACCTTAGTCTCCAGACTGACATCGTTACTCTTTAGTACTTTGGAGAGGTCTCTGACAGTAGATTTTCCCCATACAATTAATCTTTTAATTTCCTGGCTGTTGGTACCAAAAGTGTATATTGTAAAGCCAAGCAATCTGATACTGTCAACACTCTCAGTCTCTTCATCATTTATCATGGTTGGCCCACGGGTGAGAATCTTTGTTTTCTTGATGTTGAGCTTGAATGCATATGTGCCTCCATAGCCACTCAGAAGTATAAACTGAAAGCTAATTATTTATCACTCAGTGTTTTTAGTAGGTAAAGATGTAGGTAAAGTTTTATTGTTTAAACTCTTAAGGCAATATCTATAACTTGATAAAAGTTGTAAGCTTTTGTGGTACATTTTATTTTAGATAGTTAACAGGATTGGAGGTAGACTCATCAACATCTGCTTTATGCAGATGACACAACCATGCTTGCTGAAACTGAAGAGGGTCCGGGGTGCTTCTTACAGAATGTCAAGGACAGCACTCTTCAATATGGATTGACGCTCAACATCAAGAGCACAAAGATTCTCACCATGGGCTGATTCCATCATAATAGATGGTTAAGAGTTTGTAACTGTTGACAGCTTCAGTTTGCTTGGCTCTATAATCAACACTCTTGGTCCTAAAAGACAAATTGCACTGGGAAAGTCTGCTGTTGAAGACCTCTCCAAAGTACTGAAGAGCAACGATGTCGGTCTGGAGACTAAAGTGTACCTGATCCAGCCATTGTCTTTACAGTTACTTGCTGTGCATTAGAAAGCTGGACAATGACTACGGATGATAGAAAAAGAGTTGCCTTTGAGCTGTGGTGATGGAGAAGAATACTGAATATACCATGGACTTCTAGGAGAACAAACAAGTTTGTTTTGGAGAGGGTGAAGCCAGGCTGCTCCTTGGAGACAAGGATACTGAAGCTCCATCTGACATATTTTGGACATGTTGCAAGTTGAGGTCAGTCTGTCGAGAAGGATGTCATGCTTGGGAGGGTGGAGGGACAACACAAGAGAGGAAGAAGGAAGATCCTCGATGAGATGGATTGATTCAGTGACTAGGGTGGTGGGGATAGATCTCAATGAGATGGATTGATTCAGTGACTGGGGTAATGGGGATAGATGTATCAGAGACAATGAGATTGGCAAGGGATAGAGCAGGGTTTAGGGCTCTTGTACATGGGTTCGCTGTGAGTCACAGGTGACTCAATGGCACCTAACAACAACAACCTTTTTAGGTTATGAACACATAGCTTCCTGTTTCCTGAAGGCTTTTTTTTTTTTTTTTTGGTTATTGTTTCTAGCCTTTTCTGTAGTGTTCGTAACTAAAAAAAAAATTTATCCAAACTATAACTTTGTTGTGTTCTTTCTCTTTTTTTTTTAACCCTGACCTTGCTTCAGACTACTTGTGATATTCAAAATAGTTATTGAATTTCAACAGTCTAGCTGTTACTGCCATATCAGTATGTTTTAAGTCTCAATTCCCTAATGCATTTGGTCAAGGAATTTATATACAACTGAAACGTTGTCTGGGACTATCCTTCAGCTATGTGGCTGCCCTACCTGTTTTGCTAGAAAATTGACAAGTGAGGGTAAAGAAAGGGGTTCACTCCCCTTTCTTTTTTTTTCTTCTTATTACATTTTATTAGTTTTAATGAACATTTACAGAGATTTTGGGTTTTCATTCATTCATTGTTGCACTGTTTTCTCCACCCTCATCCCCAGTTTGTTCTTCTTCCCCTGCCCTCCGAATGTCTGTTTTAATTGTCCAATTGCCACAGTGCTTGTCAAAGCCAGTTCTGATTAATCTCCTTTGTCACTGTGTCCTTTGCCATTCCCTATCACTCCTCCCTGAGAGAGACTTCACCCTGATTCATAAGGAAAAGGGGATGGCATATTCTCTTAGCTACTTCCTGCTGAAAAGGGACGTTGTGGGTTTCAGGGTGAATGTCTTCTCTCACTACTCCAAAGGGCCCCTTTGGCAGTAGGAAACACATAGACTTATGGAGATTGATTTTGGAATTTAGATGCACTCTTATTGATTGTGCTTAGCCGTACATGTTCATATCCTTGAAGATGTATCATGGAAGTGTTGCAGCCTAGAAGATGCAAATTTAACTAACAAGTTAAAAGTGCATGAGCCAAAAATTGAAAAGCAGTAATATTCTGAGTAGAGGTTCTAATAGTGGCACAAATCAAGTTACAGAGGTAAGGTGGTTCCATTGCCATCCTTACTCTAACTTAATTCTTTTTTTTAAATTTAAATTTGTTATTAATTTCAGTGAAAATTTACAGAGGCTTTGGATTTCCATTCATTCATTGTTGTAGATTTCACTGCCTTTCTTGCACTTTTGCTCTGTATGACATTTCCAACCGTCCCCATTTCTAAGAAGGAACTGAGTCCTCCCACTCAGGTTAGCTTAGCATGTGAGGGAACTTGTGGCCTTGTGCTGCTTCGGTCTCTTGTTCCCCTCGTGCTTTCTAACTCAGACTCTGTTAATTTAGTATATGTCAGGAGTCATTCTACTTTCCTGTGTTTCTGAAGGAAGTCAATTTAGTACAAATTGGGACCTATTTTCTCTCTCTCTCTAACTCATACTGTTAGGAAGCACAGCTTCAGAGGAGAGCAATTTCTATTTGAAGAAAACAAATTCTTTTTATTCCTTTCTGAATATGTTTTAAACATGATCTAACATATGTTAGTATTCAACAAAAATATTTCAAGTAATGATATGGGTGCCTTGCGTTTTGTCGTCTGTGTATCCTATTACTCTTATAAATTTTAGGGGCTTTTTTTCTTTTTAAATTATATTGTATTTTTCCCTTTAATTAATAACTTCTTTTCATTGACTATTCATATTGTTCACCACCCCCACCCCCCCTTTTAAGGAATTACTCTGGATTTCTTACTAAACCAAGCAGGGCTTTTTTCCCTTCCTGCTATCAGTGTAGGGGACATATTGCTTCTTTGGTACTGTCATACCAATAAATCATCCCAGATTACTTGCAGTCATACAGTACGAAAGTATACCATGCATTTTAAAGGAAATCTTCTATTTTCTTTTCAATCAGATGAGCAATGTGAAGAGACTACGGCCACGGCTCAGTGCTATTCTCTTTAAGCTTCAGTTTGAAGAGCAGGTGAACAACATCAAACCTGACATCATGGCTGTCAGTACTGCCTGCGAAGAGATAAAGAAGAGCAAAAGCTTTAGCAGGTTGCTGGAACTTGTATTGCTAATGGGAAACTACATGAATGCTGGCTCCCGGAATGCTCAAACCTTCGGATTTAACCTCAGCTCGCTTTGTAAAGTGAGTTTGTTTTATAAAACACATTTTTTTCAAGAATACATACTTTTAAATGTCAGTCCCAATTACATTATTTAAATATTTTCATTTTGATGTGCTCATTATCAAGAACTTGAACTGAACCATGAACTCAAATCCAGAGTGAACTAAGCTAATTTACTCAACCTCTGAATAAATCCAAATAATTAATTTTTTTCTGATCTGCAAATCCAAGTGGAAAATTTTGTTTAATAACAAAGTTTTGTCATAAGCCTATGCTTTCTCAAACCAATGAAATGGAATATAAAAATATTATTTAAACACCATATTGAGTTCAGGTACTATCATCAAATGTAATAGGTACTGTCATCAAATGAAATGTCTTTTTGTGGGATGTGTGTGTGTGTGTGTGTGTGTGTGTGTGTGTGTGTTTGTAGAGAATAAGTTCTGTTTAGGATTATTAAAATATTTAGCTCATGAAAGGAAGAAAAATGAAATTGCTTTATATAAAAGAAAATTATTATATCAGGGATAAACACATCTCAGATTTCATTAATGCTCTGAAATACTGTTATATAAGCTTGGAAAATAGAGACATTGTTAATTTTGAAATTTTTTTCCTCTAAATACTTTTATGGGTTAATTTTTTTTCCCTACAGGAAGCATAGTCAACGTTTTTTATAACAAAACTCTTTCCTAAGGAGTGGTCCTTACTAATAGTACTTTATTGATCTGCTTACAACAAAGTCTTCTCAGTTACACATCAGAAGAAAAGCTTTCTCTTGTTTTTGACCTCTTAACATCTACACTCCCGGTTAAGGAATTTGATTATTGCTATTGCCAGTTGAGTAGAGAAGGTGAGAATCCAGTTCAGCTTTAGCTTTGGATTTACAGAAAAGTTATTCTCTTCATACTATTGTAAATAATTTTTGTATACATTTTCCCTAACCTCAAGCTCCCTTTGGCATCAAAGCTTTGTGAGCTTTCCCTCTCCCTGTCCCTGTTCCTCTCCTGTTCCCTCTCCCTCTCCCTCTCCTGTTTCCTCTCCCTCTCCCTCTCCTGTTTCCTCTCCCTCTCCCTCTTCCTCTCCTGTTCCCTCTCCCTCTCCTGCTCCTGCTCCTGCTCCCTCTCCCTCTTTCCTCATATTTCTCTCTGCTTTGTTTCTTAACCAGCTACACTCATGTTGAACATAGGCAGTGTAGGTTCTATGACTTTGCAAAATTATTGAGTGTCCTGTGCCAAAGACATTACCTCTTCATCATAATTCAGTGAATGGCATTAATATTTACCTAGTCTCTGTTGAACTCCTGTTTTTCACATATAAGCCATTCATTATGATTAACATGTAAGTCATTCATTGTGACTAAATATTATAATGGGGATATACATGTAATACTATGATAGAATTAGAGAGGGCGGGAGGGAGGGAGAAAGAGAGAGAGAGAGAGAAAGTGTGAGTTAGTTAGAGTTGGGCTCCACTAACAGAATAGTTAAGTACTAAGAGAGATGGGACTCTGTACTGGATCTTGAAGGATGAATAGGTATTCCATAATTGTAAAGGATATTTTTTAAAAGAAACAACAGTTTGCATCAAGAGTTACAGTGAGGGATGATGAGTATACAGTGTGCAAAGAAATGGACTGCCATAATAAATTGGTCTAGGTTATAATGAGCTTTGAATGCCTTACTTTATAATGTAGCTTTTATGGAGACATGTTGATTCAATAAAGCAAGTGATGGGTAGGGAAAGAATTCCAACAGCAGGACTGGAATTGGTTAAAGATGTAATTGGTTAAATAAAATTAAAAATTAGCTTTGTTTCAAGTGCTCCCTATCTAACCATGTTGGACAGCATCAAGCGAAAACATTTTCATAATTGTAGAATGTTTGGATGGACAGCCCTGGGTTTAAGGATTGTAGTGGGGAGAGACACAGAGGATTGACTTAGAGGTAATCCCTGACCTTGTCTTGGAGTCCAATAAATAAACCTGGAAAAATAGTGTTGGAAATGAAGTAGATGAAAGGAGTCAAAGATAACTCTCTGTGTTTTAGTTTAGCAGAGTGACTAGAAAATAATGCTGCAGATATGTTTAAAGTGGTTGTTCAAAAAGTAATGCTTATAGATACTTTTCTCGCCATTTATCTCATTGCCTTTGAGGGTATCTGGTTGAACCTAAATTAGTCACCAAATAAGAAGTCTTGTGCTCATATACAAAATATCATGTCTACTATGTAACAGTGACTGGACTTGAGATGATGAAAGTTCTATTTAATATAGTTGTAAAAAGTTTGTGGAAGCATTGTAGAGGGGCAGGAGAAAGTCCAAATACAGTTATAAACTGCAAATTTGAAGATTCAGGACTAGTTCAGATCTTGAGCAGAGTCCAGCCAGTAAGGAACCAAGATGAGGGAGAAGTTAAGTTTCTACTGAACAAATTACCGGGAATTGTTGTCTAGTCCTAATTGTTTTGTTCTTTAGATTTAACTTCTCACAGTTACTGTTTTATCACCAAAGATGCCCTTCATACTTTCTCTAAGAGAGCTGTGGATAGGACACTAGATCTAATGGTGAGGCAATGCTTGGAACACAGTAATTAATAATTTACTGTATTTTGTATTTTAAAAGAAACAGGCGTCATGTCACATGGAGATGTAGTTAGTCATCTGCACACAGTCATTTTGGCATCCTTTATAACTTCAGTGCATACTGTTCTTGTTTTACTAATCCCAAAGGAACACAGCTCAAATCCACCAGATGCTCCAGGGGAGGATGGGTAATCTCCTTTGCGATTTACTGCATCTGTAAACTTGCTTATGGATCAGCTTTGGGTCAGTCCTGATCAACAGCAAGCAACGACATACTTTATCTATAGGAACCCTGGTGGCTTAATGGCCAGAAATTGCACTTCCAAACCAAAGGTACACTGTTCAAATCCACTAGCTGCTCCATGGGAGGAACATGGGCAGTCTGTTCCCATGGGATTTACAACCTCTGAAAACCCACTGTAGTGGCAAATATGAGTCAGTTTTGAGTGGAAAGTACATACAATGTCAACAACATAGTTAATTGTCTTACTACTTCATTTGTTTCCAAGTCATAAAGAGTTAACTGTATCTTCATGCAGTGGTGCTGGCTATTTTGATTATCTCTAACAGGAGCTTTCCATTGTGCAAGAAACAAATAATTACTACAACTTCATATTTTTTTGTTCGCTTACATGTCAAGTTGAAAGTGTATATTGAACAAGATGATATCTGCTGGTGTTGTTATCAGAAGTAGCAGCTTGATCTTTGACAATTGTTATTGAATTTCCACACTGAGTATAAAGTATTTGGTTAGGTGATAAGCCCTCATGCAAGCAATTCCATGTTTATTTGACAGTAGAAAGACAGGGTAATGTTTTAATCTGTTAAAACATATTGGGTAATTATATGAAGCCTAATGTTTTATATCAAATTGTAAAAATGCCCTTTATAAATTTAATTCAAGTATGAAAACTGTGTGAAAAATTCACATTAAATTATTAACTTTGTTATATTTTGAAATATGTACACCATGATCTCCATATATTATAATTTAATTGCAGCAGCTATTATAAAATTGTATCTATAGTCAGATTGTTGTTATTGTTATTTGCCATAGAGTTGACTAGAATCCATTGCAACCCTATGAGCAGTAGATCTGAGGTATCCGTCCACTGCCTCTCCACCACACTAAAGCCTGTTGGTGCAGTCACTGTGTCCAGCTGGTTGAGGGTCTTTGTCTCTTTCTCAAACTCTCCATCCTTCCCATCATGATCTTTTCCAAGAACTGGGTCCCCTTGACTACTCTTAATTTTTTATTTATGCTTTAAATTTTCAATGTGGCCTGTTATAACTAGATAAAGAAAATGTTAGCTAGAAGACAAAATCAAATTAGAATCTACTATGATGTAGATTAAAAAATTAAAGTACATATGTATGTCTGAGCTTCAAACCACTCTAACCCATTGGCAGTGAATAGATTCTGACACATACCAACCCGAAGGCAGAGTGGAGCTGTTTATAGGGTTTCCAAGGTTATAATATTTGTAGAAGCCTCCAGTAACCTATTTTTTCTCTTGGGACAGTTGGTGGGCTCTACCCATTGACCTTTCAGTCAGTAGCCAAGTACTCCTGGACTTCCACAGTATCTACTTTTGGACTAACTGGACATCAGTATAACGTAGAACAGTCCAAAACCTTTTAACGAGCTAAAGTGGTGGTCTCTTTCATAAGCTGAACCCCAAAAGAAGTTTTACATATGTTCTTTAGAAAAGAAATATGTTATTAAGCAGTATTTTTATAAAAAGCAAATTATAGGAACGCTTTTATGAAGAATTTCTTCTAGAACCATTTGTCTGCTCTTCCCCCTTCTTTGCTTCCACAAATACTCATTTATGGTCTCTTAATTGCCTAGTCAACCCTGAGAACTTTCAGAGTAAGAAACAAATAATACCCTCTAGTGATGACTATGTTTTTACTGCCTTCAGTAAAATGATGAAAATGCCTTCCCCCCCGCCCCGCCAGAGATAAATCCTAGAATATACAAAAGAATGAATTGCTTGACATTTATAAAGTTCTTCAATGATAACTACTAGATTGTAGATAAAAATTGGATAATTTGAATTTTTTCCCTTTTGGGGTGTCATATTGTTTACCTGAAAATCTTTATATTAACAAGCCAGTCAATGGATTGTAGATACAAGCTTGACCAAAATGCAGACTTTTAAAAATTTGTATCTAATTTTAATTGATGGTTATTCTCTAAGAGAACCTGATGATAAAGCCAAAATCTTTTTGCACGTTCGTCAGCACTGTGAAAAAAGAATGAATTGATTCCAACCACGTAGTAGGTGACTTTTGTTGTAATTTTTTTTTAAAAAGTTACCAAGCCACACATAAAGGCTCTACTATATTTTTAAAGCAGTCTAATGAGATGTGCCACTTTTAATAATGTCACTTAAAGAGGATAATGTAGTTAAATATGTAGATCTTTGGTTTAG